GTAGCTCAAGTGGTAGAGCGCTCGCCTTGAGCTGAAGAGCTGAGGGACAGTGCCCAGGCCCAGAGTTCAAGTCCCATGACTGACAAAAAAAGAAAAAAAAATTATCCACTGGTAACTATATTTTATCCTATTCAAGATTTTTAAAAATTGGAAAGCCTACCATGATCCTCACTATTTGTAATATTTAATTAATTGTATCTCCCAGTCACTCGAGAGTAAAAGATATAATGTCATTCATATGTTGAAGTTCTTAGATTATTAACAAAATTCATAAGTTTTTTATCTAGGTGTCTAGCAGCATAGAGCCTCAACAGATTCACTGTCCAGTGAAATTATTGACATAATTCTGATTTATGTGCTATGCCAGATTTTAGGGGTTTAGATGTCTCTCTTCTTGTTCAAAATGTCACAACTGCACATGAAAATCAAATGGTCAGTAATGAGCAGATCACATCAGAATAGGCTCATTGACAGATCTCCTCTCACAGTTCAATCCTCCGCCTGTTCTCCCTGTTAACACAGGTAGCACACGCTGTTCACACGGGCATATCCTATGCTGGGATCGTCCCATCCATCCAAAAAGATTGTTAGAATACAGGTAAGCCAGAGGCTGGTGGCTCATGGCTATAATCCTAGCTACTCAGGAGGCTGAGATCTGAGGATCAGGGTTTGAAGCCAACCCAGACAGGAAAAGACCTTGAGACTCTTATCTCCAATTAACCACCACTAAGCTGGAAGTGGAGCTGTGGATTAAGTGATAGAACTCCACTAGCCTTGAGTTCATGCCCAGGGCCAGGATCAAGCCAAAAAAAAAGAGGATGGAGGTGGTGGGGAGGGGGGAGGGGAGAGGAGGGGAGGAACGAATGCAGGAAAGTGAGAATGGCTGGCACTCTTGCAAGGTGCACCAGAGAATTTAGACAGAATGCCACAGCATTCTGAAGCTTTGCCAGGCTTTCTAGATAGCAGTTCACTGGATGTACTTGGCAGCTGAGTACAAGTCCTATTGTGGAGAAGTCTGAGAGGAGCCAGCTGCTTTGCCATTGAAAAGAAAGATCACAGATAGGTACAATGCAGATGCTCACCATTTATATGCTCTGTGTGTGAAATGTTTGATAAATGCTGTGTTGTATTGAAATAGCCATTTCATAGCCAGTGGCCTTGTGGGTGGAAAGAAGTGGACCTAGGAAAATTAAAGTCCTGGTGACAGTTGGGGGGGGTGGGGGGTGGGGGGCTTTCCTTATTTATTTAGTATTTGGCAAAGCAGCCATCAAAGCATTTTGCTCAAAGCCTGTGACAATTGTGCTGGAAAGTAGGCAGAAGTCATGGTGTTCTTAAGAAATTGTCTATGAGCCTGGTGCCAGGGGCTCACACCTGTCATCCTAGCTACTCAGGAGGCTGAGATCTGAGGATCACAGTTCAAAGCCAGCCCTGGCAGGAAAAGCTGTGAAACTCTTATCTCCAATAAACCACCAGAAAACTGGAAGTGGCTCTGTGGCTCAAGTGGTAGAGGACTAGCCTTGAGTTTAAGCCCCATGACTAGCTCCCCCCCAAAAAAAATTATCTATGCATACTTTCTGCTGCTTCTATTAAAAGGGAAAAAGAAAAGACTGGACAAAATCTGCTTGGTTTGGGCCCATAGGGAAGCTTCTGGAAACATGTGATGGATATGTATTTATCCTGTAAAAGAGGCAGAAAGAAGGCTGTTGGCAGTGTGAGCTCCCAGCCTAGCTCCTGACATATCACTAGCAGAGCCCGTCTGATCACTAGCCCAATGCTGGGCTGTGCTACCTCAAGATTTTCCTTCTCCCCAGAGTTTGTTTGTGACCTGGATGCCTCAGATGAGTTTCTGAAGGAGCGGGTGATGAACCTCCCTGAGAACATCGTGGCGGGGACCCACTACAGCCAGGACCTGTTCCTCCGGGCCCTGAGCACCTATCGCGACCTCAATACTGAGGATGAGACTGTCTTCAACTATTTTGATGAAATTGAAATCCACCCAATACACATTGGTATGAGATGCGGAGCCACTGCCTGTCTGGCGGGTTGTGGGGTTGAAGGAGGGCTGGGGACTATCTATGTGTCAGGTGACTTGGAAAGCCACAGGATAACCTGAGTGTCCCTCCTCGGGAACCATTTTGCCTAAAAGATATGCTACTAAAACATATGCGTAGATTATGCTGCCTGGGGCTTGCACCTAAGCCTGGCCACCCTGGAAGTGGAGATGGACAATTATTCAGCAAAATGCTGGACTAGAGGGGTGACTCAAGTGGTAGAATGCTAGTCATGAGTGAAAAAGCAGAACAAGAGCAGGAGGTCCTGACTTCAAATATCCATACCAACATACACACAGTGACACACACAAACACATGTGAGTAGATTATGAGATGGGAAGCCAAACTGGCATATTTCTTAAAAGGCATGTCCAAGAAACATGTATTTGCTGCTGGCTGCTCTGAGCTGCCCCCAACCCCAAAGTTCCCTGGGCCAGGGTTCTATCCATGATGCATTAGTGGCCAATGTTGCTTTTGATAACCCCCCATGCAAGTCTTTAGAGCAATCGACTCACCCCTTAGCAAATAGCTCCTCCTTATAGCTCTCTCCTTTCCTGCAAACCCTCACCTAAGTCCCTCCCCACCCCCCCACACAGGGGATGTGTGGTGCTGCCAGTATCTTCCTCCTAATCCCAGGAGGGATGTTGGTATTCATAATCTTCCCATTCCCCTTGGCTTGTTGAATCCCTGAACTTCTTTCTGGATTTCCAGACCTCGATGCTTCTTTCTTTCTTTAGGTCTGGGAGAAACAAGCATCTTACCTGGTGGACACTCACTGATCTGCTAGATGGGACAGGGTTTGGATCCTGGGGTACTGGGGGTCTTAGAGCTAAGAGATAAGCGCAGCCAGGAGGCAGGAGAGTCAGTTCCAGTTCTGGCTCTGCCTCAGTTTTCTCATCTGACGGTGGCAGAAGAAAACCACCCACCTCCTATCCAGGAGCAGAAGAGAGGAATAGGAAGACACTGGGAGCTCACAATCCATTTTTAGGGCATACCCCTTCCCCATGAACTCCTGTTAACCCCTTCCCACCAGCCCCCTCCTCCTAAAGGCTTTACCTCTTCCCCAGGCACTGCTCTGGAGACTAAGCCTTTAATGTATGGGTTTAGGGGGCATTTAAGATCCAAACTATAGCATGATTTATTCCAGCAGCCACCCACTCAGCTCATGACAGGGTCTTGACTAGAACTCATAAACTCAGCCCACAGCCTCCTGCTACCTACTCTTTTGCCTATGGGAATAGGAAGTGTGCTGTCAGCTAGAAAAGGAAACTTCAATGTGGCAATTTACATAATTTACTATCACAAATTGATAGCAATAGAACATTTGCCTGATTGCAGTAGACCTAGAATATAAGTGTGTGTTGATCTCCTCTCTTCTGGGCATTTAAAGATGTAGGAAAACTTGAAGACCCTCAGACCAAAACTATTATGAAGATGCTCATCAAAGAGATTGGGGAGCCTCGAAATTATGGTTTAACAGATGAGGAAAAAGCAGAACTGGAGAGGAAGACTTTGGAGGAACGCCTGGCCAAGGAGGCTGCTGAGGAAGCAGAACGCGAGCACAATGAGGCCGTGGAGGTGGCAGAGAAGCTAGCTCGCTGGGAGGAGTGGGTGAGTGCAGGAGCTGGGGGAGAGTTAGGGGCAGAGCTGGCAAGGGAGGCCCGAGAGCCACTGAAGTCAGTTTTGCTTCCCATTCTGCTGCAGAGATACATCTTTGGAAATATCTCCAAGCATGTTTTTGTTTTCTTGGTTTTATGTCAATAAGTAGCAACCTTTCTTTCTTTCTTTCTTTCTCTCTCTCTCTTTCCTTCTTTCTTTCTTTCTTTCTTGTCAGTCATGGGACTTGAACTCTGGGTCTAGGGGCTAATCCTCTCAGCTCTTCAGCTCAAGGCGAGCTCTCTACTTAAGCCACAGCATCACTGCCAGTTTTCTGGTGGCTAATTGGAGATAAATGTCCTACAGACTTCCTCCTGCCTGGGCTAGCTTTCAGCCAGGATCCTCAGATCTCAACCTCCTGAGTAGCTAGTATTACATGCATGAGCCATGGGCATCCAGCTACAAGTACCATTTTCATAAGGATAATATGTGGTCTTTGACTTAGCAATAACAGCTAAACACCCATTGTCAGTATGAATAATAGCCATCCCTGTGATGTATAGTATTTTACTGCTTGCTGACCTTATGATTTAATTTTCTTCCATTTACCCATCTAACCTGCTCAGTCAGCCTAATTCTGTTCTCATTCCCCAATTCATTAAGACTAGTAAGTGATCCGGCTTCTAAAACTAGCACTCCAGCCCACCCACGGCGCAGGGCCAGTGTTTCTCACGACAACTATGCAGTGCTTCTGGCTCTCAGGATAAAACATGGGCCCACCACAGCCACTCTATGCTTACAACGCTTCCCAGGGGGTCTGGCACGGTTAGGTCAAAGTTCCATCTGACCGTGATCCACAGGGCACTATGTGACCTGGCTGCTTCTAATCGTTCCCAATTTTGAATAGTACAGTGTCTTATTTCTACCCTGTGTATGTCAACATTCATATTTCTTTCCTATCTTTACTAGAAGCCATCTTTCTAGTGACACTTTTTCTTGTTTTTTTTTTTTGTGTGTGTGTGTTTTTTTTTGTTTTGGTCCAGTCGTGGGACCTCAACTCTGGGCTTGGGCGCTGTCCTTCAGCTCTTCAGCTCAAGGCTAGCGCTCTACCATTTGAGCCACAGCGCCACTTCCGGCTTTTTTTCTTTTTGCTTATGTGGTGCTGAGGAATCGAACC